CAGCGATCCACGCTACCTTCCCGGGCGCTATTACTCAGCGAAGGTCCTGTGGGAGAAACGCTGATGAGCTACTGAGCGCAAACGCGATCTCTGACAGCAATTGTTCAGGAAGCGGCGGGCGAGATAGGCTTTCCCGTTCTTGCCTGTGGAGAGCGTCCAGTGCTGTCAGAAGAAATTCGTTTGCCATAGAGACTCTCACGGATGCGCGTCCCCTCCCAATTTCGCTCGCAGAGGAGATCAGAGCCCCATGGATTCGCCGCCAAATGAGCTTCGAAACAGGGTAACTCCACAAACAGACAGTCCGCACAATGTCGTCAATGTCACGAAGCTGTCATGCCCCCCTGACAGAATACGCAGCTCAATAGGGTTCTTGCGAGACGCTGAAGGACATCCGCAGCGCCATGGCAAAGAACTTCGTGCCTACGTAGTACGCCATGTGTCGTATTGGGAGCACTCACCTGGGCCAATATATCTCGAATAAGCGAGGCATTCACGAGCATCTGGGGATCTGACTTTTTCTCGAAGCTTCCGGCGCGCATCTGCACAGTGCCAGATAGCCTTCACCAGACACCACTGGTTCGCATGCCACTGGGAAGCTTTGGTCACCGGTGGTACGTTATCACTTCCTAGGATGGACTCTTGTGGTCGGAGGACATGCGTCAATACATACCAGACAACGAAAATTTGCCACCGACAACACCAAAACTATGTGGGCAGAGTCACTCAGTTATTGCGTCTATGCCGCGTGTTTCAGAAGCGCATACAGCGGGCATGTGTCGCTATTGGACAGCTGCGAAACGGTCATTACTAGGTATTTGCGCTTGCCACTCGCGTTGCCATGTTCTGCGAGTGGGGGCCGCAAAGTAGAAGCTCCGACGAGATTTCTATGCACCGGTGGATGAGAAGGCCTAGATCCAGGTACCTTCGAGTGAGCGAGAGCCGCGTTGTCGTCCAGTTGGGAGATAAGAGCTCGGTCAGGAGACTTTGTGGCGTTTGAGGCGGCCGACGCTCGGAGGTAACAGCAAGGGCCGAGACGACCGATCACCCCGCCGCGGCCGGCATCCGCTGTGAGCCAATAGCATCCGAGCACCCTCCGTACACGTCGACACATACCCATGCCATCAGTCGTTTTCGACTCCAACTTCAGTTCGCTGTTCGGCTTGGAACGAGTGTGGTTATTGATCCACATCAGGAAGGCGCTTTTTTGCGTCGCCCCCGCTGTCGACCTATATTCTCTGTGTAGGCTATGGCTTCCAGCTAGCTTGAAGCTGAGCTGACTTTGCGCTAAGGTCTCAGGCATCTTTATCTGCGCTTCTCGGCCCTACTGCAGCCACTCGCTATTGCTCTTCAATCCCGCTTTGGCCGCTCATCCTCTGTTCTGCGCGTTCCGTGGTCAGGTAGGCGAGCATTAGACGAGTGCCAATCGCAGTCAACAGACTTTTGCGTTCCTACACAACCAACGTTTGGTACTAATCCATCCTGTCGCCCTTGTGGACTCCTCCTTGTCTTCTTGTATTGAGAACAAGTTCGGAAAAGAGAGCAGTTTTCGTTACACATGCTACACACGAGCTGAGCCGCCACAGGCAGCAGCCACCATGATGCGACTCGTGCACGCGTGCACACTCGCCACATCAGCCGGCGACACCCGCGTCTTATGCTGGTCGATTTTTCTGCGTCCAAGGCAAAGGACAAACGGCTGTGTTCCCTTCAACATTAGAAATTGTCAAGCTGCGATATCCAAACGATGATATGCCCAAGCTTTGTCAGTACACCCTCTTCTGGGTGGCATCACTGCAGTTTCTTCCTGTCGGAACTTATTGCGCAGACGTGCTTATCATCCTACCCTGTCCTACCTCCCTAGACCACATGGACCACCATAAACATCGTGAGCTCATTGGTGCATTTGCCTCCCGTGCAAGCCTGTAACGCGACATCTCGTTGAGCCTAGACCGCATCCCACATGAACACGTCTCTATCGTGACAAGCGCGGCGCGTACACGTGACAGACGCGTTCAAGCCCATTAAAGTTCCACGACGCGTCCTCCTTCACATAGCGGAGCTCAATCTCGAGCGCGCGACACGAAATCATGTCCCACGTCCCTATATAAGCCGCAAAACTTTTTTTGGCTATGCAGAGTGCTCTTGTTTCGTACCACTACCTCCCCACGTCCATAGCCCACCAAGCACTCCCCCAGTTGAGCTGGACAGCCATGCCCACCACCCACCCCTGCGGATGCGTCTGCCCCTGCGATCCTAGTGAGCGTCGCTTTTCCCCCTTAGTCGGACGTCGTGGAGACCAACGCTGACCACCTCAATCTGCACAGCTCGCACACCTGTGGAAGTTGTACACGATGCCCAGAAGGCCGTACAGAACGCTGATCAAGCCCTTCGCAACATTCGCAACAGCGGCGTTTCAGAAGGTACTCGATCATGACACCCTCCCTCTTCCCACCCAATACGTTGACCGACTCATGGCATACTGTACAGAGGACATCCAACTCGCCCAAGACCGCAGGCATGCTGCACAACTCGCGCTCGACGAGGCCTACAAGGCGCTCATCGTTCAGGCGAAGCATCCTAACCCTGAGCTCGACGACGACGAAGCGATTGCAACCGACGATGAGGGCGAGGATGACGAGAGCGAGAGTGAGGATATTAGCATGGACGTTGGTGACGTCAGTGCCTTGACCGAGCTCGACGAGGATGACGAGGACGACGAAGACTTTGTCCCCCCGGAGGAGCGTTAAAGTGTCTTAGCACATACTTTAGGTCTGGATTTCTGCTGATGTGTGCGATATCGTCTATAGTTCAGACTGCGCGATATAAACTCGGAGTTGACTTGCTGCCTTACAACCGCTATCTGTGCATAAGGATCTAAATTGAGAGTACATCACATGTCAATATCTCTCATTTAGAAAGGATATCGCACAGGCTTATCGAGCGCACGAGCCGGGACCGATTCTGTTACACATGTACACGTTTGAGCATCGCAATATAATTACATTTCACTTCCTTGAATCCGATACCGTCCAAATTGTCTCTATTTCAGGAAGCTGCTGGCCTGATAACGAAAAGCGTTCGTCAGTCACGGCATTGACGAATCCAGATGTACTACTTACCAAGCTCGCAAGTCCACCCAGTCCGCCGGAGTTGCC